AAAACTTAATGTTCATCATTTGAAAAACATGACACCTAATCACTCTAAAATGAAATTAAAATGTCTTGAGACAATTTGAATGTAGAATTTTGAAACCATTCTAGGAAATTAACATTGGGTCATTTATTAGATATAACCCAGTTTGTAATAAAACCATACATATGCTTCATGCTGTCTTACTACATTCTCTCTCCCAATACCACAGGTATGCTGCTCTCATAGTGTCTCTCATGGCCAAAGACTGCAGATACCTTTTGGACACTTTGTTGTACAATCCTGAATTATATACAGGTAACTGTGTAGAGTCATACACGTTCCTAGTCTTGGAACAAAAGAAAATATCCTGCTGTTTATTTTCACGTGTTTTGAATTTTAAAATGTCTGCAGGGGGTTGTTATTTTGCTGAAACATAAAAAACAATTTGTAATCTGTCTTTCAGGTCCTCCCTTTTTTGTGCCTGATGAACAGGTACACAGCCTGTTTGGTGAGTGCGTGTCTGTACTTAATCACAAAACCTAGAAAGACATGAAATTAATTTACTGTAGGAAGTGATACTTGGATACCTGTTATATATAGACAATAGAGGCTGAGATTAATTTGCGTTTTTTTTAATGGTGCATTTCTTCTCCTCAGGGAACAGCTGTGATATGGAACTGCTGCAGTCAGTGGATGCCCTGACAGACAGACAGCGAGCCTGGGGGCTGGATTACTTAAATGAAAATGTACACCTCATCACTCCAAAGAGAATTTAAAAACTAATGTGTAAGTTTAGAGAGATAAAAAATTCGGATATTGGGCACGTCATTGCAAACATAGGATTTGGGCGTGTTATATTTTTTTAATGCTTAAGACATCAAGTGAAGGTGCATGGAAATAATGGAAATAATATGTCAAGAGATTTTCTAAATACTATTTTAAACTCATTCATTTTAATAAAGCCTAAGAACTAACATGTAAAGTTTTGACTGATTGACAAAATAAAACTTGTTTTGTAACAAGATGCCTGTTGTGCATTACTACCAATATTAACAGTTGCAAATAGGCAGAGAATACTGTATTTACAACAAAACAGAAAACGTGATGCAAGATATAAAATTCACAAAAAGCAATGAAATTAAAACAAAGAGAAGATACTGAAAAGATGAAGAAATGATGCTCAAGGGTTGAACATAGAATTGTCATTTTCCCACATTTTGAGTTTGTATGGCCCCTATATAGGATATTAAATAGACGGATAAAGTGTTATTAATCAAATTAAATGAACTCAAAACATTTTTCTCAAAATCGGAAATCAGGTTAATAATGTATATCACAGCACTCCAAACAATACAAGTGTATCTCAAACACAGAGACTTGTTTGATGAAAACATATTAACTAAAATGTTATGAAACTTAGAAAAAGCATGGTTTAGTTAAGTTACAGTTACAAAACATTTTATACTACAAAAAGTTGCTAAACTATAGCCTACTGCAAAAGGTCTACTGTCACAATCACACATATAGGCTAGAGCATGTTATATTTCTGAGACCCCAAGCATAAGTAATGTTTATAGCAAACTCTAATAACATTAAGAAAAGTCATGAAGTATCAGGCTGATAAAACAATGTTGAGCACAGGGGTGCAGATCCGATGTCAGGATTGGGGGGGACACAAAAGTGATTTTTTTTTTCTGCCTGTATGCAACTCATACCATGCCACCATAAATTACAACTTCGTAGAGGCTCGCCAATACTCAATTCAAAAAGTACGCACAGGGAATTCATTATTGTGCCTTACCTTTCTGTTATTTGTCCATAAGTAGCCAACAGCATGTATTCACCTGCTTACTTAACTGTTATATAGTAACATTACATATCTAACATATGTAATGACTTTAATATTGTGTTTTACCTATTGAGTCTTGTATCTTTCTTTTATTATATTGTACGTCTCTTTGAGATTCAGAAAAAGCGCTCTTTTAAATAAAAAATGTATTAATTAAAATTCATCATTTTAATGGGTCATCGGATGTAATGGTGTCTACTCATTTCTTATCTTTCGCCTTCCGTCAACCCTCCCAGATCCCCAATCCTTCTCACTCGAATGGCTTACCTACTTTCTCATGTATGGGGATACTTTTCATGCAGATTCATTAGGATACGGTAATGAAAACTATCATAAAATATGAAGCCCTAACCAAGTTTGAACTAACTGATCATGGTTTTTACAATGAACAGCTCTAAAAAAAAAAAACAAAAAAAAAAAAAAAACACAGTTCTAAGAGCAACAATAACACAACCACAAGGACAACAAAATCTGAAATACATTTGTTCAATTTTGAATAATTTAGAGTATTTTTATACATTTTATTCATGGTTGAGCATGTGTTTTTGAGATTTCGACGAAATTTAAAAGCGTCACGGAGCCAACTTCTCCCCCATTGGCTGTTGCCTGGATACAGTGCCTAACATTGACAAAGAGGAAGGAACGCTAGAACGTTCTGCTCACAGAAAATGCCGAAACATCCCGAGGAGCCGGGAAAAGTAAGTCGCCACATTAAGACACTTTTAAAGACAATGTGTGATAAAAAAAAAAAAAAATATCGTTCTCATTTTACCCGCTGCAGCCACACTTCATTTAGCGTCCTATTAGCAGCGTTAGTGCTACGTGTTTACAGTTCAGGTCAGACATTAAAGAAGCAGCTTACCTCCTCAGGTGAGTGTGCCTCCTCCGGGCCGCTGGGTGTGGGATGAAGGAGCTCGAACTGTGGAGTTTGTCAGGTGAGCACCATCCATTATTATTAGCTACCGTTAGCATGGTACTGCACCTGCTAGCAGCCAGAGGTGTCGTCTTTAAACCACAATGTCAAACATCTTCCCTGTTTCCTAGTTCTGGCCCGACCGACGGGGGGGTTTTGACGAAAAGGAGGCAGACCAATGTGAATCTGAACGATCTTCATCAGCGAGCAGAGTGGTAGGCCTGGGTCAACTGTTTCAGAAGGCTTTTTTATAAGAATATCTGTTGATGTTATTCAGCTGTTATTATTCACATGGCAGATGAAATGTAGCCCTCTGGATGCCTCTTTTTGTTTTTGTTTTCCTCTTCATATTTCGAGACTCACCACTGTCGTTTCCTCAGGCTGGCTGAGATCTGTACCTTGAACCATAGAGGGCGCCAAAGCACAAGGAAGAGCCTGAGCCCTGCTCATCTGGACGCTTACAGGGCCTCAGTGATGAAGAGGCCAGGGGACCGAGTCACCACTGATGATGTTAAACGCAAGTGTCGATATGTTGTTGGACTCTTAACAGTGTTATGTGATATTGCATGACTTGAGCCAGCTGCTCCTCTCCGTTTCCAACAACAAGGAGGAGGTTGCTATGTGTGCATTTATGATCACTAACACTACTGGAGAGAGTGCCCGCCCCAAAAAGAAAGAGGTTTATCTCATTGTGCAACATGCAATTAAGATCCATGAATGATTGATCTTCATATAAAATCATATAGACACAAAACTGAACTTTGCTCTGACCGTGATAGTATTTAGCCAGATAATTCATGTTTCTATACCTAGGTGGTTCTAGATGACCTTTGACCCTCTTCTGTGTTGTAGAGGTGGCTGTCAGTTTGCTGCAGGAGAATTATTCGCTTCCCATTCCATTCTGCTTCTTGAAAGTATTAAAGTAAGGAAGGCAAAGACATGATTACATACGTGCATACGTGGAGTTTTGCATTGTTGTACACTGTATTGGTAAGATAAGCCATACACTGGTTCCAATTGCTTGTCTGTGTTCCAGGAGTAAAGAGCTTGACGAAGTCCTGACTGCTCTCCTCCTTTACCTGTCTTGTTTCTTTGAACACAAGTCTGTAGAGAATAAACCTAAGCCTTTAATGGCGTAAGTATTCTGATGTATTATTATTGTATCTTCCAGGTTGGTGATTATTTACTTTATTGTAATGTTGTGGTGTTTTTATAGCTGTATCCTCCAATGTCTGTGTAATCTATTTCATTTTCTTTTCTTCCTCCCATCCACTTTTTTTTTTTCCTTCTCTGTCCTGTATTTCTACGCCCGCTCTCCCTTTCTACCCAACCTGCCAGTGTAGACATCCTCACAGAGCACGGGATGATGGCGAAGGCTTTGGCCAAAAAGGGGATTGCTCAAAAGAAGCTGGCTGTCTGTTACTTCAGCCTAATGATGGACCTGGAGATAGAACAGCGTCAACACACACCATGTCACAAGTGAGTATTTGTTCAGATTCAGAACCGGTGGTAGACAGAAAAAGTATGATTTCCTCTGCAGTATTTTCACAGTTGTCTAGTAACCAGGGTGCATCACTCGTCATACAATAAGATAGCAGCAGTGAACGTCTTCCCAAGAGGATCTGAGGAAGCCACTGAAAAAGGTTTAGCCAAGATTGCATTTACGTGTAAAATCCCAAATAAGGGCAGGATATTAGGTTCATTTTTGGAATCTGTATATGTGTGCTTTGTATGCTATCTGAATGGAGTAAGGCACATTATTACTATTTACTATTGCAAAGCTGTATGGCCCTTCCAGTTAACAAGAAAGATAAAGATCTTCTGATATTCATCAAAGCTACTGTACATCACATCGCTTCTCTCATTTAAACGTTTCACAGTAAATGTTAAATGTTGTCACTATAGCACGCAATACAATAATCACATACAGGATTTTTAAATCTATCTTGATACCACATTTACTCTCCATAGTGCCCTTGAAGAGGTCGCTTTACAATGCAAATCAAGTGTAGGAGATGGGGGGACAAAAAATGCCTTCTGGAGATAAGTCGAAGCTAATATGAGGCTTCAGCAGTCTGACTCCACTTTGTTTTCCACTCTGTGCTTCCCTGAAAAATCTTTCCTTGTCACGATGCAGTGGAAGGACAGTAAGACGATGAGGAAGTTTGGTACTAAAAAAAGACCAGAACTTTTACAGATACACGCTTCTGGGCTAATTTAGACTGCCTCATATTACCGTAGCTTCAGCGGAGCTTTAGAACACATTTCTACACCAAACAAGGAGGGTGGATTTTGCATTGGAATCACATCAAGAAAGGATCTTATTAGGGCCAGTATGAGCAGGAGGAAGAACTACAGTGACCAAAAACTATTGTTGTATATGTACATACATACATGAGAGTACTGTTTTAAGACAGAGTTAAAGAAATGTGAACATATCCTTTCCCTTAACCTTACTGTATATATCTGTACTGTATATGAATGAATTGAACTACAGACAAGGTCTAATGCTAGATTCTTTCATTAGTTTTAAAGATTTTAAAGCTTTATTATTGGATGTCTTTTGACCCTCTCAGTTCTTTTTTTATTATTTCTTTATTGTTTCTTGATTTTCTGACTCAGCTCTGACTTTAAATGTTGGTCTTTGTAATCAGGGTTCTCTTTAAAAACCTTTGTTTATATAAGTTATATACTGTTGAAATATAGTTGTTTATCTGTTTGGTATATATAGTCATGCAACTCCCAGATTCTGAACCAAAATGTTAGACCCGGTTCTGAAATTATCAAGTCATCCATGAGTAGAAGTCAACCAATCACAGTTGGCCCCTTTATACCGAGCTCTCTGTGTGTTTTCCCAGGGGCCGGATGTCGCCAAACAGCACAGAATGGCTGCTACATGCGGTAGGTTCAAATAGAATACTACAATGTGCTACAAAGGTAATAATCACCGTAATTTGCAAATAAGAATGTTCGTAAGGTTATCATGAATGTTCTGTTTAGTGATCCTAATTTGTCCTCTATTAAATCTGATAAATGTGACTCGTAACTGACCTGAAATTTCTTCCCCTGCAAAACCAGCATGTTGAAACATTTGGAACTGCATTGCCTCTTCTGCAAAGAAAAAAATTCAGTTGTCAGAGCGAAGGCCAGTTCACCATCTGTGAATACAGACGGCAGTGAGCAGGACAGAACAACATTGAGTGCTGGTTATGCCTGGTGGCCTTAATGAATTAGTCAGTGGTAGGAGATGTTGACTCAACACAGGTGCTTTGCTATGACAGGCTCTCTTCAGTATTTAGCCAGGTGGGTGGACGGGGGAGAGAAATATCACGCTAACGGCAGCAGCTTATTGCGTGCTCTGTATGTGACCTTTTTTGGACAGAAATAGCTGTCGTGATCTTTAAAAAAAACACAGCATAATAAGTGGCCACCTGGGTTTTTTAGTCAGAATTAAGGGACAAATCCATAAACAGAATACATGAATGTCTAACTATCGAATGAATTAAGGAAATAATTCATTTGAGTGTAAAGAACGCCCGGTGACACTCTTCCTCCATTTTCTTCCCATCCACCTCCGTTTCTAGTGCTTGTACAGCTTCTTCTGTTACGTCGCCTGGGTGACGTTCGGGAGGAAGGACCTGAGGGACATCCAAGAGGAGGTGGGGCGTCTCTTGTACTCTGACACCTTCAACACGGCAGTGAAGAACAGGGCCGATGGTGACTCAGGAATGACCTTCGCTACTGTTAATGGTTCAGTGAAGACGGGAGAGGCTGACCCCAAGGAGACAGGATGTAATGGCCCGTTCAGGCACAGGTACGCCAAAGTGAAGTAAAGGTTGGGTTGAGGTGGCGTGTCATACCATCACCGACCGGCAGTATGTATTTTTAAAGAGTGGATTTTTGATTGACAAAAAGTTTTTGCATCTTCAGTTACTACATATTTCACTGCTCTTTAGGGTCATATCTCTGTGAACTTATCTTATACATTTTTGATGGCCCATAAGGAAATTCTTCCCCTCCAGGCCAGTCTGAGAGAGTATGCTTTAATATGTAATGGCTCTCTGGAGTGGTAAGTAAAGTTGATGAACTTTGAACACACTTTTTGCCAATACGAACATTAAATGCTACGCTGTGTTCAGCAGATACTTCCTAACTTTGATATTTTGGTGCTGGACAAGTAGCATACAACAGGCTTTTAACCACTACCAGTGAGGACATTCATGTAGAAATAGTTAGTTATGTGATCCGTTGTTAACATATTATTATATATTTAACTAATATTATTTGTTGTCTAACCAGCAATATATGTAAACCAGTCTCCCCCCGATTCAACATATTATAGATAAAATAACTTAATTAACTAACGGCAGTGAAGTTATCTGCGTTTGATGGATGTCATGGCAGACCTCTTACTGGAATATGATTGATGTAGACAGATTCATGGCTTTGTCCGATATCAGGGAAGGCCTGACAGCCGGTTTTTATGTTGTATTGCTGTGTCTGACACAAGACTGGCAGTTGTGTAAACTGTCAGAGGCCCACTGCTCTCTCCTGCTGTCAGGTTGAGACCAACAATCAAAAGCTGAGCTTGAAGCTTGCTCTCCTCCTGGGGGTGGATGTACATGACATGGTTTGGATGCACTTTAGCACCGCTTCCAGCTGTCTCTCAGACATTGAAACCAGTATAATAAAAATAAAATCAGACTATATATGTTTTGTGTTTGTTCTGGAATAGTACCTGGATCTTGAGGATAGCATTATAATATTTGGTTTGATTAATTGTGTTATTTTCTTACTCTCATTTAAGCAAATAAATTGTGTTGGAGAGAAATGTCTTTTTTTTTTCGCATTCACGTTTCCCTGGGGTGTTTTACATACAATAAATTCATTACATTCTTTTGTCCTTGCTGCTTTGGCTTTTCCCCCAGAGCGTCCCAGAGGCGTCCGGCCCTCAGCAGTATAGTTAATCAGCGATCCCCACTGATGGTATCTCTGCTGCCCTCGCCCAAAGAACGGTCACCCCATCTGTTCCTCGGCAGCCGGGCTAGGAGGCAGAGCCCGCTGCAGACAGAGCACTGTGACACCAAGGCCCTGGCGGAGGAGCTCAACCAGCAGCTGGCCAGTGTCAGGTGGTGTAAAACATCATAGAATATGTGATCATGGGTATGATGTATCTGTTTCACGGCTGCCATACCCAAAATAACGGTAACTGCTACTGTATGTGTACGCCGATGACAAATAGTAGAGACCTGTGGCCACTAGGGGGCAGAATTACTCAGAAAACAAACTCATTGTAATACGGAAAAACTGAACACTTTTGGGATTATGTGCAGTCACATCCACTCTACATTACTCCATTATCTGTGTCCCCCAGTGTCATGCTGTATTAAAGAACACTTTAACTTTATCGCTGTTTAACCAGAGCTTTAATCAACTAAATGATAATCATTTCCACATATGTACAGATATTGTGTGTATTGCATGGGTGTTTTTATGCCAAGATTGCACCGAGAGAATGGCTCGTTGTGGAAAACAAACAAAAGTGAATCCAGTTTACCCCATGTTCAATCTCTTTTTATTTATTTACTATCAGCTTTGGGATTCTTGGCAAGCCATTGAGCCAGTTCAGCCGCAGTACCCTGATACCCTGTGGAGAACCGAAAAGCAACAGAGATGACGACCATGAACCGGGGAGTGACGTTAACAACAACAGCGAGGATCGTCCTGGCATCCATATCGGAGGTAGCAGGTCGTCCCTCAAGTCGACAGGCCTTGCCAGATATGGCAGCACCACCCACATAAACACGGGAAGCTCTGCAGCTACCTTTGAGGCAGGGTCCTCAGACACTGAATGACTGTATGTGTGAGAGTGTGCATTTTTATTGGCATAACACAGACACTTCATGTGCAAATGCATTCCCCAGCAAAGCCCACAAGGTCAAAAACAGAGAGAAAGCAGTGGCTGAGTTTTCATTCCACTCTGCTCATGTGTGGTTCATTTTCAAAAGCACCTCCCTGGACTGTCATCACACACATAGTATTTGTTGGGATTTGCTTCTGAATTTAAATCAGTGTCTTATTTGCCAGCTGGTGGTGCTGTTGAATAAAATCTAATGAAATCCATAACAACTTTGAAGGTGCACTTACTACAGAGTCTGAAAGATATTCAGTTCATATGAAAATGTAGGAAGTCCAGCACATTGCATGCATAATTCATGTTGGATAATATGTATGTGGGAAATCGAATTATTCAGTCTTCACGCAGAGTTTATTTGTCAGATCAGTGTTCACCTTTTTTTTTTATTTAGATCATTGAAGGCCTCCCTTTAGACCACTGAGTCATTCTGTGTTCTTGTGCTGCTTCACAGCAGGCTAACAATATCATGAACTAGTGCCACTTCACACATACACACACACACACACACATTCTAGCACATCACTCTCTAGCCAGGATTGGTAGCAGAAGGGGCTTTGCCTTTGCCCTAATTGGCTGCATAATCTGGGACACCAGGAGTGGAGTTAAGCCCTCTGAGGAGGAGGAGGAGGAGGAGGAGGAGAAGAAGGAGGAGGCCTGGGAAGCTTGTGCAATAGGGTGGGGGATGGGTCACAAGATATATTTTAAAAAACGCTCTTGGGTTAAATTGACGCTGTTCTACACATGATGTCATAGAGGATGGACACTTTCATGAGGGCAAAGAGAATGGTTCAGACCAAATGGGACCTATTACTTTCTCCACTCTTCTTGCTGCTGTCTTGTCTTCGTCCCCTGATGGCTACTTTCACTTTTCCTCTCTGTCTCCTCAATTGTTCTCCTTGTCTTCTTCCTCCAGTACAGTGTGGCTAATACCAGGCAAGCAGTCAGACAGTTGACAGAGTGAAACCTGCCTGATCAGTTAACACGTCCTTTTCCCTGGCCTGACTGAATAATCAAAGAGGTGCTACAGTGGCAGTGGACACTATTGGCTTTCTCGCCAAGAGTGAAGTGACAAGATCAATACCACAAAATCTGTGTGGGAATGTGGCTGGAGCCAGCAGCTGCTTAGCTTAGCTTAGCATGGCATAAAGGCTGGAAACAGCTAGCCTGCCTCTGTCCAAAAAAAAAAATCCACCTACTACATAATCCCCCATAGACTGAAATTTTCTTTTTTACACAAACAAGATGTATAATGTGTGTGGTGAGCTTTAGAAATATTACTAGGCATTACTTTGGACAGAGCTGTTTCCACATTTTCAGTCTTTATGCTAAGCAAACTACTACTTAAGCTAGTAACTACATATTTACTGTACAGGTGCATATCTACTACTGAATAAATGTGAGATTGGTATCTGTCTTTCCAACTCTGGCAAGAAAGCAAATTAAGCTGTCTCCAAAAATGTCAAACTATTCCTTTAACTTTATAGAACTACCTTTTGGATACCCTTTGTGTACTTGTACTTGTTGACCTGTAGTTGAATTGACCTTTAATGGAGCTTTAATTTAAGTTTTTCAACTCTCAACAAAGCATTCTTTTACCTGATGTCACCACCTAATATCGTCCCTGACACTCGGTTTCAAAACTCGGTTACATTCCCTCTTTGCTGTGAAAATTACCATTCATTCATCAAAGTTGAACAAGTCAAGTGCCATTTAAAAAGCGCAAACTGTTTTGGTTTTAAATCAAACGGCGAATACCGGTGAAACCCTTCGCATAAAAGCAGCACAATGATGATTCATTGCACACACAGAAATATTCTTGTTAATCAGCTGTCAGGATGATTTAAGCTGCCTTTCGAGTTTTTCTTCTTCAAAATAAATGAGATTCCAGCACAGGCACTTGTTATTAAAGCTTTATAATGTAACTGTGAACCGAAATCTCTCACCATCTGAGTGTTAAAGGTTAATGCAGGCTTGCGTCTACCACCAGGGCAAGAACATATACACGTAAGTCGCCACCAATGCACAATTTCCTCTATACTACAGTATGTGTTCTGTATGCAGAACTGCAATATATGTGGCAAAGATGGTGCCTGGAAGGAATTTAGTTTGGCAGTACTTGTGATCAGGAGAGTTTAGAGTTTACTTTGCACAAAGGGCAGTCTGTTATCGGGTGGGATTAGTGGTTTTCAAAGGGTTCTGGGAAAATTCTGTTTTCCACTGTTCTGAATGGATAGTGATCTGGAAATTTGACTGTGAGGTGGAAGATTGTGCTGGCAAGCTTGTAATCAGTGGACCTTTTTTTAAGGCTGCTCCGTGGAAAAATCACACCTTTTTCAAATTAATTTAATAATTACAAAATTGCCTCTCAAATCATGCATTAGTTGCACACGTTTTAAAGCTAATTAAAGTGCACCGCAAGTTAATTTCCATCTAATGGTTGTCTTAGGTAAAGTGATTATAATAATTAGTGAAATATAATTTAAAAAGATGTACTTAAAAAATGATTTGCACCTGTAATTTTAGTTTTGTGAACTTTTACATTAAGTAACCTGTAAAAAAAGGCTTCATTTTACAAACTGAAGCATAAACATGTATGTGTGCGTGCTTGCACTTTTAATAGGGTTTGTATGCAGAGCTTGACAAAGAAAACAGGGGAGAGAGGGCACTACTCATTCTGCCTAAAAGTGGTCCCTGTTTGTGATTTACTATTACGTATGATGTTTTTGGTTAATATTACTGCTGCATTTTACTGCTGTAGATGTTTATGGTTGAGCTAATTTTATATACTGTTGGGTAGTTTAATTTACAGCAATTTATGATATTGTATAAGATCATATGTTTGTAGTGACGCTGTCCTGTCAGAAGTCAACTTTGCATGAGTTCAGAAAAAGCTAAATAGTTTATTTAGAAGTAGGTGAATTCTATCAACCCATAAAGGGACACTTAATCATTGTGTGTCATTAGGCAAAATAAGTGAAACACCATGGTTTTGGATCATGGGTGGAGAAAACGTGATGCAGTCCATGCAGCTGTTGCCCTTTTTCTTTTAAGTCTTTTTCACCCCTGTCCACCAAGACATTTCACTTCTGACTTATCAGTTCCTTTGAACAGGGAGGCAGTTTGCCAGCTGTTAGCAAGGAGGCTCTAGTTTACTAATGGTCAGTACGGAATCAGTTCAAATTACCTAATCAGTTCCTATACCGCTCAAACATCCAGCCTATGATTAGAAACCCTGGAACACTTGCAAACATATGACACAACTTCACAAGAAAAAAAAAAAGATAAAGTTTACTCAACTAAGATTATGGGTACTCTAGTTTCAATCACACCTTAATGAATGACATGGTGTTCTGTGTAGATAATGGGGGGAGTTATCAATTTATACCAGCAGGGGGAGACTTTGCCCATAAATGGCTGAACTCAGTGGGACGCGGGGGGGCTTCCAAGTCATAAAACTAATATAACTCTTTATAGTGTTCCTATTCCATCTCCGTTATGTGGTGTATTTTCTAACAGGATGCTGTGTGCTTGACTCACAGGTACAAAAGGTGCTGCACTGATTCCATTACTCGCTGAAACAGCAGCAATAAACGAGTAATCAGATGTGTTCATCACAGCGTCGCTGCATAACAAACACTCGATTGGAAATGCAGCGGCTGAATGAAATGGTGGAATCCTCATTAGGGTGCAATTAATGATCGTTATCTAACACGTGGAGATAAATGGCTCAATTAGCTGTGGGGCTTTTTACCTCGGGGAGTTTGTTATGAGACCTCCCCCGTAAGGAAAAACAATACAAACAATCACTGTTTCCTATAAGTAACAAACTGTACTTTGTTTCCTTTTTTGGCTACTTTTGTCGCACGTTCTCCCCCCGTCTCGCGGTGACATGGCCGAAAAGAGCGCACGCACTCAGCAGCGCGTCAGCCGTGCTCGCGCCCCGACACACACACAGACACACACACACACACACACACACTTTGTCCTCGTTACTCCAAGTGAGCGCTGAGAGAGAGAGCGAGAGAGCGAGCTAGGTGTCTCGTGCGGATTTCACTGTCACACACAAGGCGCGCGGAGGACTTCGCAATTAAAACCGCGTTTCGTTTTGTATGTATTTTGTCCGAATTGCGCAGGGACAAAACGAGAGAAGTGCCCCCGGAGAGAGAGAGAGAAGAGAAGCCGCGGGGGGAGGAATAACCAAAACGCAACACGTATCCGGTGGGATCCCACTCCTGAGAGAGAGAAGCGGCAGGAGTTGGAGCGGAGGGTGCAAGGAAAGCGAGAGGGAGAAAGAAGAAGAAGAAGAAGAAGAAGAGGGGGAAAGATTTGACATTTCGCTCGTAACAACGCGTTTTTAATTAATACAGAGGAATAATGAGGAACGTTTGGATAATTTTGACCCTCGGGCTGACCGTCTTCCTCTCCGGGGAAACGGTAAGTTGTTGGAAAGCAAACTTAAAACGGGGAGATAGCTGTGGGGGGAGAACTTGGGTCCACGTACGGACCAGTCGCTGCTGCTTTCCCCCCCCACAGTTTGTTTGAGGAAAATCTTTTAAAGCATTTGCGTGTGTGTGTGTGTGTGTGTGTGTGTGTGTGTGTGTGTGTGTGTGTGTGTTGTTCTCAT